AAAAAAAAAAAAAAAAAAAAAAAAATAGGGGAAAAAAAAAGAAAAAAAAACTTATTTACTTTGTTGATCCTTAATTAATGAAATGAAATGAAAAATATTTTTTTTTATCGGATAATCTAATATATCCATTTTATATAATAAATCAATTATTTTCGCATGAGTATCAATTAATTTGTTGCAAAACAGTGAAAATTAAACAAAATTATGCATTTATTGTTACATGTTCGTATAGAATGTTATGAGAGAATGTTTCGAGTTCATTAATCGAGGATTAAAAAAAAGAAAAAAAAAAAAAAAAGGATTCGATTGAAAATCATATTGATTGGCTGTAAAAGGAAATAAACGTTGCATTGCGTGAATTGTTGCTTGACAATTATTCGAAACGAACGCTACATTGTCTATCCACATTCTATGTTTCCTTAATTTATATTAACTTACATTAGTTATATAATATTATCATTTAATCTTATCATTACAGTTACAGATTATTATTAACGATCACTGATAATGAAATTGATCGCAATTATTCAGTGATTTTTACGTTAAAAAAACGTGATTATTTAACTAAGCTGCATTCACTCGTATCCTCGAAATGATGATATCTTAATATTAAATTTACAAGCGCGAATTAGTCACCTTTTCTTTTGCCCCATTGGAAAGAACACCATACGCATCATTATCATTTAGCCATCAATGAGAAAATTGGTAAAAATTTCGATATAGATATTTCATATATGATGATTATGTTGCTGAATTCGTTCAACACGTCCAGACGATGGTTATCAATTGACGCTCAAATAGATTACATATTAAACAATTTTTAAAGGAGGTATTATGTAATATATGAGGAGGTATTATGGATACATGTAAAAAGATGATTTGATTGATTTTTTTTTTTTTGATGTTGCAGTATGTACACGTTTTTATGATATTTTGATGACTTTATGCAGATATAAGCCAAATTTTAATTAAATATTTATAATCTTTTAAGAGATATTCACACATACATATTCATTTCTGTTGTAATAATATTTTCCAATATTATTCGTTTTATATTTTAATATTTATAAATGTATTTCAGATCAGTACAACAGTGTTTATATATAATTATTTTCAAATAGATTAGATATAATTTTTTTAATTATCATACAATATTTTAATCATTTAATAAAAAAACAATCATCAACAATAGTCTGGGCGTATAAAATGAATCGAATCCAGATTCTTGTGACAATTACCATTTATATCATGAAATAGAAAACGTGAAATATGATTCTAACAGCCTTTCTGAGATCGACACGATCGTTTCTCGAGCAATTATCCCTAAATTTGACAATATCCAACAATCGAGAATCTCGTTCACTACTTTCCTTCTTTTTAACACACACGAACGAGAGCAGCCTTAACGCCTACGGATTAAGCCTAAACATCGATTTATGTTTCGTAATATGAAGCACATCATTTATTAAATATTCCTGTATGTTTCAAACATTCACGATCTCCATTCTTCGGCCGTGACACGTCCACCATAATAATTCGACTCACACGTGATAATAATTTATGTCTTCAAACAATTCAAACAAAAACCACGAGTTTCTTTATTCATTTCCCTTCTATTGGAATAGAACGTTATATCATTGTTCCACGATTTCGTTCACATTGCCATTCATGGACGGTGAACCGTATTCTATCTTCGTCTCTATCATCCCTCGTTGTTATAACATAAATATCGTTACACGATGAAGAATTTTTGAAAACACTGGTGAATCTCTTTTTTTGATGAATCACGAAGAGAATCGTGTTAACAATGCCAAGAGATGAGTTGAGATTTGACATTTTAGAAATTCAAATTCGAAATTTGACAAGGAACTCTCAAAGATCTCAGAAACCTAAAATGCTTATTTTATTCCTTTTATTCTTTTCTTTTTAAAGAAGAATTCTTGTATCAATTTTTGTTTATTTAAAACCTTACATAACAAATTTTGATTTGAGAAATTTTTTAAATTGTAGTAAGGCAATAATAAACATCTTTTAATATCTTACCTTGATGAAAGTGAAATTAAGTATTAATCAAGATAATATTATATAGGTTTCGAAGTTTCGAGTTTCCTATCCTCAATGGAAACGAGGATATGTCGTAAGAATCAACGAATCTTGGTGTTCCAATGAAGCAGGTAAAGTCCTGTACTCGATCCAAGCGCATATCGTAATCGTCATTTATCTGTACACAAACAGTCCGTGAAATTAATTACTAATTTAAAAGACACATGTATACGTATATGTCTATATTATTTATGTATATATCGCAAACCTTTCTTCTCGCTTTGTTTCTTAAATTCTCTCCTCAAATAATTTCGTCGATCATAAAAATATTTTATGAAATATATCGTCGCTCGTAAAATTCACTAGCTTAATTAGAACGTACATAAAGTTATCTCGATTGAGATCGACTTGGTGCGATCGTTTTTTTTATATTTTATCTTTTTTTTATACTATCCAAATATTATATTTACCAGAATAAGTCTATATATATATATATAGACTTCCTTCTATTCAGCCATTTCTCATCCTTTTTTTTTTTTATTTTTTTCCTCTTTTTGAAAACTTGTCTCATCTCGAACACAGACAGAATATTGACAAGACATTGTCGTGATAATTTAGCAGGAACTCGATATTTGAAAGTAACTGTGCTCTTCTATGCTATGATTACATGATTTATAGATGGATGTGAAAGAAATTATTCAAGGTAATGCTAAATTATCATTGTTATCTTAAACATGGTTCAATGAAGTAAATTGTAACTCGTTTGAGTTCTTGAGTTCTTTCTCGTTTCAGAGAATCAAAATGTCAATTGGATATGATTATTCTGTTCGGTTAAGAAGCCTCCTCTTCGAGCATCGACTCTCGTCACACTGTTCCACTTTTCAAAATATCCTCTCCTCCTCCCTCTCTCATTTTTCCTCCAACATTTGTTTTTACAGCTACTACTTAATATTTCGAAGATATGTGCAAATACATCATGCGGTGATAGATATACGTTAGTGTGAGAATTTATTCGTTTAAATGTTATTACTGGCAAGTGAATCGGGTGCATCGAGACCCGACTAAAAATATTCTGCGAATGTCTGCAGGGTGTTTGTTGATTATAACAAGGCCGCTCCAAGCTACTTACATACACACGTGATTCACTTGATCGTTTCCAAATCGCAAATTTTAAGCATCACTTCTATCGTTGTTCTTCCCTTTCCTCCATTCTTCTTTTATCCTCTTTCATTTTATGTATAATATATGTATATATATTTTTCCATGAAATGAGATTGTTGAATAATGAAGTAATCAATTAATCTAAATTTCCATAGAAAAAACTTGCGATTAATTATATAATTTCCTCTCACATCAGCGGCACATCATCAATTTATCATATTACTTTTTTTGTTTTTTTTTTTTCTTTTTAATATAACGTTTAAACGATTAATTAACGTGCTTCAGAATCAGACTTGTATCTTGGCGATTTGAACACAATGAAGTCTCGAAGAACGAAATTGCTTTTTTGGTCTCTTTGGTGGTAAACGATGCTTCTCCCGAACAATCGAAAAATTTTCAGCGTTCGTTAGCCGTGAAGCAGCCTTCGAAATTGT